TATTAGATAAATAAGGAATTCTTTCTATTATTATATTGTTATGAGATATTTTTTTTTCTTTAAGTAAGAAAGCAATTTGTTTATTGTAATACTTTTGAAAATTTTGATTTTGAGTTCTGATTTCAAAAAACTTAAAACAGAGATATAATAGATAGATAGTCTAGACTATCTATAATCAATGAATATTATCTATCTATCTATCTATTATATAGAATAGATTATATATATCTATATTTTGTAGATATCATCTATCTATTAGAATATCATCTATCTATTATATTTAGTTTAACCTTTAAATTCCGAATATGGCAAAGTTGCTCCTGGTTGGGGGACTACTGTTTTAATGGGGATTTTTATGGCTCTTTTTGCAGTATTTTTGGTGATTATTTTAGAGATTTATAATGCATCAGTATTGTTAGATGGTATCTCGGTTAGTTGGGCAAGTTTAGTTTAGCAATCTTGAAATAAGAAGTGGGATTGTTCTAGAACAATCCCACTTCTTATTTCATTATAGTATTTTGTATTATATTTATTAATTGTATCATATTATGTTCTATATATTATATGTTTAATATAATGATTTCTTGAAAACAAAGGATTATTCGCCATGCACTCACCCCAAAAGCTGAACGTGAAAGCCCAAAATCGCATATCTTGACTGTCATGTTTGTCATCAACAATGTATTCTCCGATTTGATATCCCTGCAGCAAATGGAAAGAAGCAAGCAAGTTCCAAAGTCCCATAGTCCCAAAGTCCCAAACAGCAGATCCAATTGTCTCAAACAATGCAGCAAGAGGCAACAAATGGGTCCCAAATTTCCAAACGGCCGTTCCCAAGTCCCAAACAGCAGAGCCTCATATTCACATGTGGATGCAAGACATGGATTGGGCTCCAGTTTGAAATTTGATGTGAATTGCATCGCAAATGCAAACCACTTGGCAATACCACCATCTCACATCTCCCTCCAAATATTTTGATGCTTCTGCATTGCCATCACAAGCTCTGGAAAGAAAAGGGTTCTGGGCCTTCTGGCCCTTCTGCGGAAGCGAAGTGTCTCCTTTTTCTTTCCAAAAGAACAGCACCCTTTTGAAATTTGAATAGAACACCTGTTCAACTTCAAAACACAAATTAATAAAAATAGAATGCATGGGCAATGGGCATTGTGTTTCTTTTTTTTTTTTTTTCTTTTTTTTTTTTTTTCTGCCATCATGTGCCATGCCAGAAAACATTTTACTCTTAACACAAAGAAAAAGAAATGCCTTCTTCAGACTTCTTCAGATTCTTCTTCGTTTTCCCTTTTTTTTTACCCCTTTCTGGTTAACGGTTTGCCAAAGTGACTTTTTAGTCTAAAAGAATATACTACTATCATAGTACTATGATCACTATCACATGTAGCTCGAGGAGGTTAACGAACCGTGTGCCGCAAACGGCATTACCTGTGACAGTTTTTTTGGATCAATGTAAGGCATTGTAAGCACTTCAAAATGAGGCTTTCTTTTTTGGCAGGTCAGCAGTTTGCGAGTGGAAATAAACTTCAATAAAGTGAATCTCTCACGTGCGGAATTCGTTGATCGAACTCGATCCTATTCGAGAGAAGGTTAACAACAGTCGTATTTTTCATCACCACTTCAGGACACCCTTCACCACTTCAGGATGCAGCCTGCCTAAACAGGTGGTTTTCAGGGTCTTCGGACCTTTCACCACTTCAGAACCATTCAGGTCTGAAAATCCTGAATGGGCCTGAAGTGGTGAAAGCTCCGAAGATCCTAAAACCACCTGTTTAGGCAGGATCATCCTCAAGTGGTGAAGGGTGGTTTTCATGGTCTTCGGACCTTTCACCACTTCAGGACCATTCGAAATTTTCAGACTGCCCAAAACTCTCACTTGACCACTTCTGGACACCCTTCACCACTTCAGGATGCAGCCTGCCTAAAAAGGTGGTTTTCAGGGTCTTCGGACATTTCACCACTTCATAACCATTCAGGATTTTCAGACTGACAAAAACTCTCACTTCAAAATTTTCATTCCTGAATTTTCAGCTACCCGATAATTGTTAGAAATCCAGGCCAACAAACAGAGGTCATTCCCCCAATATCTCGCTGAACTGGCATTACTTGCCATCGATTCCTGGTTCACGAAAATGGTCAGTCTTTCACCACTGGTATCATCGGTCTCAGCACATATCGGTGCGTCCTGTAAGGGCTGTCAGAATAGTGATGGATTAACTGTTGACACTTGAAAGTTGAAACCGTTGAACAGAGAACACAGAAACGATGCATCATTCGCAACTCCCCCCTCCTCTCTGCAAATATAAGGGTCTGTCCTGTAGGGTATGTCAGAAGTAGTGATCGTTCGGGCTGGACAGAGAACAGAGGAACGATGCATCATCCACCGCTTCCTCCATTCCCCTCACACACAGACCCGCACACCCTGTGGGGTCGTCAGAGGTAGTGATAGTTTAAGGGATAGAAATCTAACACAGAAGCGATGCATGATTCACAGCTTCCCCCTCCTCCAATCCCTCTGTGTGCCCTTTACCCTTCCCCACCAAGCCACAAACTGACCTCCCCCCTCCTCAACCCCCCACCCTTTAACTCCTTCCTCACCACACACATGCTGATCTCCTCCGCCTCCTACCCTCCCTTCCCCCAACACACAAAATCGGTGAAGACGGATATAGTTGCAATCTACCATGTAGTAGTCCAACCAAACTCTTGTCACAAACACTATCAATGGCTATCCATGATCTCCCCCCCTCCTCCTACTCCCCCTTCCCCCATCACACAAAACTCTTGTCACAAACACTATCAATGGCTATCCATGACCTCCCCCCCCCCTCCTACTCCCCCTTCCCCCATCACACAAAATCGGCGAAAGACGGATATAGTTGCAATCTACCATGTAGTCGAACCAAACTCTTGTCACAAACACTATCAATGGCTATCCATGACCGGCATCAACAGATCCATCAGTCATCCCGTCTGTAGACCGCATCAAACTACCATGGCCAGTCAGAGCAATCCCATATACTTGAGACTATAACCGACTGGCAATGTGCACCGCATTGTCTTGCATGCAGTGGCAGACATTGATGCCCCATTGACATGAATGTATTACAAGCGGTATCCTGGTTTGATACAGTCATGATGATGGGGACTGATGGGTTCGGCGGAAGACGAACAGCTTGCACTAAACAAAACGATGTTAGAAGGTAAGTAGCTTATCACTGTAAGTTGTCTTACCTTACTGTAATTACTCCTGTCCGTGACCAGTGTTCAGTGGCAGTCTGTTGCTCCTCTTTCTTTCTGGATGACCTCTCCTGAAATGACATGTCCCAAAGTAAAGTACAAAACCTCGCCCTTAGCAAATTCACATGGCTCAGGAGGATGGGGGGATCGTACATTTTGCCTCCTTACACGAGATGATCTTGAAAACAAGCTTCAAGCTTCAGATCCCTGTGTAAATGTATGCTTTCATTTTCGTTTGCTCGTTTGTTCGTTCGTTTGTTTGCTTGCTTGCTTGTTCAAGTACACAATCATCACGAATTTGTCTAATCCTTTGGAAATAGGTCATTCACAGCTCCGGACATTAGTCCAGACGCAAGATCAACAACATCTAGTACAACCCGACTTCCAGCACCTGCTCGGGCAGACGCCCCTAGGTTAAATCTGGGCCTTTAAAAGATTCCGCCAAAGTGAGAGAGAATCTGGGCCTGATATTCTTCTGGACGGGCATTCAGATGTCCACAAGTTGAATCTGCATCAGAGACGTATATCAATGGCAAAGTATGTTATATATGCTCCATAAGCCCGTTCTACGACAGCTGTCAATAGCGGATAGAGGGATTATCCTCAAGGCCATACTTACTAGAAGAACTGATAGTTTCACCAACAAGATAGTACACGAATGCCCGGAAAACCCCTTTTTGATGGAGTAAAAGCTGCAATACACACCGTCCAGGAGGTCCATTTTCACCCGGATCCGGACAGCTAGTTCCAGATGGATGCAGTGGAGCCCTGGACACCTCATTGAGTGTTGGGGATGCCTCCACCCCAAGGCTGCTGCCAACCCCCTTGCCTCACACGCCTCCCTCACCTCCCCTGGCATAATCCCACTATGCCAGCGGGCAGCAAACATCCCATATTCTTTGCCGCTCTTCGCAGGCACATTGAGTCCCTGCGGCTCGCTCCTGGTCAGAAAACAGAGTCTGGAACAGGTACGACCAGTTTTTGGACCTGGGTCCGGAACTCTGTACAGGTGCGGTCCTGCCTTTTCAGAATGGATTGTTCTCTCAAAGTGGTTGGGCCGAACAAGTTCCCTAATGTCGTTGTTGCCTATGGGTTGGTCCCGGCCACTGCTGTTATGTTTATGCTACGCTAGCATGAATGTGCCCACTTGAACGGCAAGGTTCCCGCCCCCTAAGCATGACCATAGCACCAGCCGGGCATGCCCCTGTATGGCTCCCATCCTTGGTGGTGGGCGTACACCTCTGTTCACAAACTTGTAAGGCGCTTTAGTTCATGGCGTACTTTCACACCCTTGCTGAGGGGTTTCAATTAATCTAGTGCCAATTGCTCCTTCAAGTGCTATTTACCATATTGTTTCAACCCTTGTTCATCGTCAGGCTGTCCCATGTACGTTGATGGGGGAAACAGTGAAGCTCCAGTTCCTCCAACGTCTCATTAGATGCACTTGAATGTTTATCGGACTTTATCCCCCTGTATATCCCTGCCTGATCCATCGAAGACATATACACTTTTGAAGTTTGAAAATCATGCAGACGTGAACTATGCAGAGAACTCAATATGGATGTTGTGGCGAAAATTCTCTCTCTCTCTCTCTCTCTCTCTCTCTCTCTCTCTCTCTCTCTCTCTCTCTCTCTCTCTC